GGTATAAAGCGTATACGCCACTTCCGGTGGTACCGGATTATCGACCGGCATCTCTTCGGCTTCTCCTAGGGTAGATAATTGAGATTTTAGGGAGGTAGCCTCCATTTTAGCGTGTTTTAAGAAATCACAGACGTTGGGGTGAGAATGGTAAATTCCAGATGTTTTCCTTGATTTTTTTAATCAGAATTTTCGACAGGAAATGGTTGTTTTTCCCTCGGGTGACCAGGCACGCCCTTTTGCGCAAAGGTGCGTTGACTGGCGGCCCAAATTGGCAGCTGCAAATTTGGGATCGGGAAGTTAATGAATTGTTTTTCCAAATGATGCTCCCACCAGGATGGCCCAAACTTAATCAACGCCAGAACTAACATTTCGTCTTGTTCGGTCAAAAAACGAGGAACTGTTAAGTTTAAAGTCACCGGAAGCGGGTTAATAACTTTCTTTTTAAACGTGTTGAGCTTTCCGTTATATAATTTTCGGCTCTATAAATATTTGAGCGGTTACTTTCACAATGTCAAAAATCCCAATGTCGAATTTAATAATGACAAATTCATAATCGAATTCGCGAGCGATTCTCCCTCAAAACACCCATATTCTATGCAACGAATTTCGACATTGATTTCGACGTTCTCAGTTTCCGCATTATGATTTTCGACATTAAACCTATTTTATATATCCAGCCAGTCATAAGGTTTATCAAAGGATGAAGCATAAAATTCCAAACACCAAAAACCGACAACGTAAAAAGGATAAAGGTAATTTGGAAAAACTTCAATATAATATCTATAACTACGAAGCAAACTAAGCTTCTAAGAGCTCAAAACCCGTTCAAAATCTTATTGGCTCTTTCGTGAAAAGCTCAAATGCTTATTATTTTCTTCACCGGCCCTTGAGAAACTCTCAACAAATTTTTTTCATCAGACATTTTTAAAGATTCCCCCGTGCTCCCGTGACAGGCTAGCCTTGACAGACCGCGTGTAAAACTACGGAAGCTTGATGGGAAACTGGATTCCTACGTGAAAATTGGCGTTTTTGAAATCAGGTACATGAGAATATAATGTACGCTACGCTATGTAACTAGGCGTGTAGGGTCGTTACGAAAAACGCTACGGCCAAAACTCGAGACCAAGAAGCCGTTTAGTACGACCAACGTGAAAGAAAAAGAGCGACAGAGAGAGAGAGAGAGAGAGAGAGAGAGAGAGAGAGAGAGAGATAGCGAGCGAGTGAGATAGAGAGAAAGAGCAGAGAGAGAGATAAATAGAGCGAGAGAATTGCAATAACATCGGCTAGATTAAATGACTAAACTTGTAACTTGTAGCATCCACAATTTGCACTTGGTAAGCAGCCAAAGCTAGTCGCAAAACACTAAAAATTGATGGAATAATTGCATAGTTAATGGAATCAGCTGTAGTTTGGATAGTGGCGTAGTCATTTTATGAAAACCCTGAGGTCTAGAAATTTTTAGAAAAACTTTAAGAATACGAGAAAATGCGATTTTTATGTTGTAAAACATCTATTTCTACCATACCCCACCAGAAAATCACATTTTTTGCTTGTAATCAAATGTTGGCCCGAAAGGTCCGAGGTTAATAAAATGACGGAGTTTTCTAATCCTTTCCCAAAAGGGTGGGTGGGCTGAAAATGCAATTTCCGGGGGTTTAGGTCAACATTTAGAGCGCCGGTTACGCGTTGCAAAATTTTTCCAAAATATTTATTTGGATCCACTGGCTCCAAAAGAATCGCAATCTCTTTACCAGCATGCAAAAACGTCAGATTTGCATAAAAATACATCTACTATATATAAAAAAAAATTTTTTTTTTTTTTTTGTGTTTTTTTTTTTTTTTTTTTTTTTTTTTTTTTTTGGGGAAAAAAAAAATTGGGGGGGGGGGTTTTTTTTTTTATTTAATTTTTTGGGTTTGTGGGTTTTTGGGGTGGGGGTGGTTTTTTTTTTTTTATAAAAAAAAAAAATATTTATAAAAAAAAAAAAAATTTTTTTTATTTTAAAGAATTTAAATTTTTTTTAAAAAAAAAAAAAAAAAAGGAAAGGGAAAGAAAAAAAAAAAAAAAAAAAGGGGGGGGATTTTTTTTTTTTTTTTTTTTTGGGAGTGGAGGGGGGGAAAAAAAAAAAAAAAGGGGGGGGGGGGAGGGGGGGGGGGGGGGGGGGGGGGGGGGCCACCCCCCCCCTCTTAAGTTAAAAATGTCTAAAATTAGTGATAACAGGTAAAAATTACGGTATCTAGGGGAGAACTCTACTCTTTAGACTCGTGAAATGAACTAAAAAAAATTTAAAAGAAAAACGTGACCGGCAAAAGCCTTCAAATTATGATGTGAAAATTCGCACGCAAATTTTCTACAGACGGAGTATGGTACCTCGACCCCAGAAAAACTACATTATTCTTGGGGTTAATTTGCTGAGAAGCTGGCGGCCAGCAACTGTACCAGTATGATAAAGTAGTTGAAAAAAAACTGCAGGTCAGTTGTAATCTTTCGTAATTCAAGGCACTTGTAAGGCATTACCATGGATTTTCTGCGAATTTTCAGTGCCGGTAACGCGCTACACGCTGCTGCGCCTCTTTTCTATGCCGTAATGCTTTTTAATCTAAAGGGACGGGCAAGGTTTTCTGATTTCTTACGGATTTTACGAAATTACGATACGCCCCGTTTCCATCAGGTGAGATATCTTTGTGGATTTTCTAGGAATTTGTAAGATATTGCTATAGATTTTTGGTGATGGATTTCCAAAGCATTTTCACGCACCCGTGACACGCAACGCGAGCCATTGCCTTTGCGTAGCGTATCAAATTGAGTCCACTCCGCCATCATCGCGGCGTTCGCGTTGCGGGTCGCGGGCGCGGCGATCCGAGCCAATCCATAGCTAGAAAATCCATACTTTTGCATTTCAGGCACCTTTAAAGGGTCGGTTTTTCGAAGTTTTATAGTTTGAAATCTATTAATAGCTTCTCGAGACCCTTTCGACAGTTTAATTTCATAATTCTCCAGTTTTCTAATATTTCTTTGAGCCAATCCTTGCTTTAATCAAACCTCCAGGTGAAATTAGAACCATAAAACCAATTCGGAAAATCACCCCCGTCTACCGCAAATCGGCTTGCCCTAAAAACGGAAGTAAAAATGCCAACTAATTAGGAAAGTACGTTTCTGGTAAATTATGTTTTATCATGTTTTTCTGGGTGTGGACGAGCTGGGGGTGTCGAGGAAAGTGCATAAACATTTCCATCCAGCGACAAATTGACACTGGGGAAACTAATGGGAAACCAGTCGAGTGGGTCAATTTGCGCCCACCCGGATGTCCAAATGATGGCTTAAAAAAGTTGGCCCGGAAGAACTCCGGAAGCTGTTTTTAAGGTACTTTTTAAGGTGACAGCTTACAAGGGAAAGGCAAAAAGTGAAGTTGGTGTTTGGAAATGGGACCCTGCCCAACCAGTGCAGAATTTTTTAAGCTCTTCCCAGATTCAACTTTTAGAGGTCTTTTAAAACGCCTTGGAATAATGGTTTGCGAAAGCTTCAATAATGGACATATATCAGAAAACTTTCGATCATATTTTTTACAATAGCCTCAATATTTCATTAAATTCTGGAATTATATTTCAAGAAAAAGTGATAGCGTTAAGGGTAATGGCGTCTGCAGTTCATTAAAGCCGTCATAGCCGCATTATTAGCATTTTTATTGGGTCGGCTGGTGGCAGCAATATGAAAGAAGGGCTCTAAATATAATAAAAACCTAGTTTTTTTGTTGCCCATTGCTATTTTAAAATTCAAATTCGGAATCTAATTGGTTTCAGGGAAAGGGAATTTAGGTAAGAATTCATGGAATTCGGCGCATAATAGAATTGATTTTTAATGGCTTCGATTTAAAAAAATTCATGGAAGATAGCCGGCTAAAATACTATGTCACATATTATAAGTATCTTAAAAGTTATAGCTTCTAAGAAAAACCGGAAGTAGATTTGCTACCGGGTAGAGGATAAATTGAAGAGCCCCGAGAATGGCCCGGGCGCTCCCCTCGGATTATTCATGCCCGGGGGGGCCCCCGAAAATGCGGGCACTTTAGGTGGGCGGAACCAAAAAAAAGGAAGATGATGATGACCTCATCAGCATCATAAGGTTCTCGAAAGGACGGATGTCTGGTTAATTTAAAGGCGACGGCAAGGCTGTGCAATGGTTTTAAAAACCCCGCGGGACCCGCGACCAAATGCAGCAAAGGATCGCTAAGGCTTTACCATCATATAAATTCTGTCGATTCTGATTGCCGCCGAATTTCGTAGCGCCCGCGACACGCAGCACGCACGCAGCGTGATTGCCGTTTTTAGGAGGCTAATACATCATCCAGGATATGCGTCATGAAAATCCAGGATATGCGTTGCGTGTCGCGGCACAAGAGGTTCACACTGTCTACTGTTTTTCTTCGTACTTCCATCCTGTTACGATAGTGCCACGCCCGTGACGCCCGACGCCTACTCGTATTCCATTCTGTTATGGTTTTCGGCTTCACAAGCCCTTTCGGAGCCTTTCAAAAGAGGTATTTTCGTAAAAAGTGTCTAGTTCTCCCATTTTTATCCATTTCTTCCTCCGAATTTCCCGTAAAAGCTTGATTTTTAGGCATCACAAACTTTGCAGGAAGTCTGTGATTACCGAGTGCTTTTTCTATCCCTTCCCGACACTATTTTCACAAATTGTTGAAAGGGCTCGATTGTCGCCATCTCCGATCCAAAGGTAATTATCGGATCTTAGAAAACGGCGCATTTCGACCTCTATGATTAATGTTGAACTGTACTTTTCACCCCTTTCGCCTTCCGGATGATTTTTGGTTTTTGGAAACTTGCTTTCTCGTAATTTCTTGTAATTCCTGGAGTGTGGCGTTGGTATACGATAGAAACTCGGATATCTGTAAAATTTGAGGGCAGCATCTGAGAAAATACTTTTATTATTAGGGGATAAAATTCGCAAAAACAGTGAGATCGTGGATTTGGGCATGGAATGTCTAGAGGACACCGAAGAACCGCGCCACCTGCGAGAGAATGGCCTTCTGGACGGGCGGGATGCTCTGCTCAACCTCTTCAATTGATGGGATATCGATTTTCGGGATGTCTTCAAGTCGTGGCATCGTCAGGGGAGCAAGGGTGGGCATCTGGGGCATGCCTGGAAGAAAAACGTTTAATACAACTGTTTTTCCTGCAAAAACTTATAAATCCCCTGTTCCTTATAGGATTTCCCGACAAACGTTAAAAAAGCAAAAATTTATGGAGGTATGGGGAATTGAACCCCAGACCTCTCGCATGCTAAGCGAGCGCTCTACCACTGAGCTATACCCCCAGGCGAGAGAGGGGACGGTGCAGGGCGCTATCAGCCTTTGGAGATCCCCGGCTGTCAGTGGCAAGAGGCAGGGGATGCCACTGACACAAGGAGCTGACTTACGGTTCCCAAGGCACACCGGAAGTTTTGAAAAGGTCTTTTTATATTTTTTCCTACGTTTTTCGATTATTGCTAAGTCGTAGCCTCCACGTAATACTATGCCTAAGCCTAGCTTACCATTAACAAGTTGCTGCTGGGGCTGCTGGGGGAACAGATTCGGGAAAAGCTGGCCGTTTTGCTGCTGCTGGTTATAGTTGGTAGCGGGTTGGTTGACTTGTTGGATTCCCTAAAAATTACTCGCATAGGATATTTTTTCGGTTCTGTCAGTAGTTTAGGTAGTTAATCAGGTGTACCCTGTACTCAAAAATAACTGCTTAAGTGAGCTAACCGGAAAAATTATTTACTTAATTTTTTATACCTTTTCTACAACTTAACCTTACCTGAGCCTGAGGCAGCGGCTGAGGCTGCTGCTGTTGAGCGGTGGGTTGATAGTTCACTTGGGGAGCCTGGGGGAGGGCCTGGAGCTGGGGCTGATTCCCAAAGAGGTTCAGGGTAGTTGGAAGTTGGGGCTAAAGTATAAGTACGTAATAAAAACCGAAAAAAATGGGTATTACCTGCTGGAAGGCCTGGGCGAATTGTTGCATCGGCTGCTGGACTTGTTGCTGTTGTTGCTGAACCTGTTGAACCTGCTGCTGCTGCTGCTGTTGCTGGTACTGCGACGGCTGAGGCATGGTTCGCTGGGGGTACTGAGTTGTCGCCTAAAGATCTCGGTTTTTGAGAGCGAGAGAGAGAGAGAGAGAGAGAGAGAGAGAGAGAGAGAGGGAGAAGGAGAGCGAGAGAAAGAGAGAAATAGAGAGAGATGCTCACCTGGGGAGCGGCAGGTCCATTCTGTCCAAAGTACTGTTGCTGCTGGTACTGTTGTTGTTGATTAACAAGTTGGGCAGGTTGAGGCTGAGCATCTACCGAGGCAGCTGGGACGAGCTGCCGCTGCTGTTGTTGGGGAGTTGAGGAGTCTGGAAGCCTGGGGGCTGGCCGAAGACCTGAAAAGAGTGGTATGAGGTACCCTTTGAACAATTCTCTTCTAGATACCTTTCATCCCCTAAACTAGTTTCAAAATCAATGAGAAGTTTTTATTATAGCAAATGAGATAATTTAGGGATTTTATTCAGCTCGTTAAATCAGTTACCTGAGTCGGAGCGGCGAGAGCCTGAGCGTTGTGCTCCTGGACTGTTTGGAGCTGGATGTCAGATGGGGCGACATCGAGGGGATTCTGAATTTTCCAAGATTTATAGGACGTACGCAGTTGCGTATGTACACTTGTACAGACGTTAGTTAAGCTATTTTTTTGCTTTTCGAAACGTTAAACCTTGCCAATGTTGTTTGAAAAATAGAAAAAGCATTGATTTTCGCCCAAAAATGTCTTCTTTTGCGAAAAAAAAACCCTATCAGAACACATGCGAACGTTGCTAAGCATCCTGGGCCCAGGAACAAAATTGAATATCCGATGGTGCGAAATAACCATATGGTTGACTTAAATTATTACCTTCTCCAGTCCACGCTGAGCCGATGGAATAATCGCGTTGTTAGCAGTAATCGTCTCAGAAGCTAAAATTCTGATTATAACAATCTTTGGGAATTTTTACCGGTCTCCTCATCCAAACACTGCATCCTGCGGACGTGCACGTTGTAGATGATCGTTCCATTGTCGGCGATAATTTTGTTCAGGTTGGCAATGTAGTCAAAAGCGACGAGACGACCGCTTTGCGTCACCTAAAAATCTACTATAATAATTTTCTTGAGGTGTCTGTCTGTCTGTCCGTCCGGTCCCGAATTCAACTCGAAGGGGAAACGAGCTAGAGCTTAGGTCTATTCAGATTCGGATAGAGCGTGGTCAGAAACCCCCAAACTGATAAAAAAATTATGAAAAAGTTTAGTTTAAATTATTAAAATTAACTTTGGAAGTTTTTTCTTAGTAAAAGGGGTGGGGTGGAGGTTGGGGTGATCTTGGACATAGTGAGCCAGGTGGCGCGCGTTTCGGCGAGGGGGAGGGAGCGAAGGGGGTAGCCCGAAGTCCAGCTGGTTTAAAATATCTTTGCAAGCCTTGATAGCCCTACCTCTCCCCCGACGACCATCTGACCGGGGTGCAGCTGGGCGATTCCTCGGTCTTCCGAATTGAAGAGAGGTCCGTAGGAGCAGCAACGGGATTGGAGCCTAAAGTCGTTCCTTGCTATTTTAGGTAATCTAATATTTAATATAAATTTATCTATTAATTCAGGCAGTCGCTAGAGCGAAAAATTTCGCCGTCATTTCTGAGGTATAAAAATATCTTATTTTTTACTTAGAACTTTGAGAAATTTGCATTTTTAAACGTTAAAATGGGCGAAAATCGTCCTACACTTTTGACGAGCAATAAAGCTTTAAATTTTACGCCAGTTTTCAAACCTTAATGAGAATTTACACCTTCGCGGTTCGGTGATTTACATAGCTACAGCTTTAACGACAGTAACCGGTAATTTTCGAATTACGAGTCCAAGAGGTTCGCTTTTCACGAAAAAAAATAGAAAAATCGGGATTTTAAAACCCGGAAAAATTTATTGACTTGGAATTTTAATTTAATTATGATAATACAGCTTTTTTCTATTCTCTCTAATTCCAACTTTCTGCAGTAACCCACGTTTTTGAGTAGGCATCCGACTGTGGTGCAAGCCCACCGATCCACTGCCCGGCGTCACAGCCGTTTTGCCGATAGTTGGTCTCGCAGCTCTAAAACAGAAAAATTACCTTAAAGTTTGATCTCTTTGTCTTGGCCTCTAATTTTACCCTACTTTGAAGCTTTGAACTCTCGATATTCTCGAAAAAAATAAGTAGAAAAGTCTGGGAACGCTAGCTATAATTTTGTGAGAGCGTCATGTGGTCATGGAAATTGTCGTAGCCGAAGAAACCTTCAAAAATCGAAAAATTCGGCTTACCGAAAGCTGGGGGACGAATCCTTGGGTTTTGAAGGGCTGGCGGAGAAGAACATCGGATCTGGAAAATACCAAAAATTTTTGAAAACTACGGTAGCTAGGCCAGCCTAAAAAATTTCTTACGCTGAAAGCAATGGGGGAAGCTAGAAAAAAGGTAGTGTTATTTAAAAAAATTTATTAAAGCTGTTAAATTCGATATTACCTCCTCAAATACCCATCCTCCTTGCCATTAATGCGGTAGAATTGGGCGGAATCCGCTACTCGAGTGCCATTAGCCGTCCAGCCAAAGCACCTGGGTCGTGCGCAACCTAGCACTGGGTATCCGGCTCGGAGGACCTAAAATTATATACTTTTAAAAGCAGTAATTCGTGTATTAAAATTTATTTGACACGCCAAGATCCATAACTAAAGATTTCCGTTTGTAAATGAAGCAAAATACCTAATTTTGGAAACCGCAAAAAATTCACTGAATTAATTCACTTTGGGATTTCTTTAAAAAACTTTCTTTGGAAGTTTTTATGATTTTAATATCATTATTATGGCGTAAGAATAAAACTATTGTAGTAAAATTGACGATTCGACTCCAATGTTAAAACGGTAGGTTTGTGATTTTAGCGATTTCGGCAATTTTGCTATTTTATTAACACCCTGGGAAGCGCTTCGGAAGATTTGTTTCCGTTATTGAACAGTTAATTAGAAAATAAATATTCAATTTTTATTAAAAATTACTTAAATTATTTAAATTAAGGCCTTCTGGTAGTTTCTCAACCAAATTATGTACCTGAAACGTGAACGGCACGGCAGCTTGCCCGCAAAATGAGGCTACGGTAGCGCCGACTAGCCCAAGCAGCAAAAAGGGCACCATCCTGCAAGTGCTCAATTTCGTTGGACAGGCAGTAGATGAACAACTTTACGGAGAAGGTGAAGAACCAGGTTAAAGAAAAGAGGACAACTTCCAGGAAAGGCTAGGAAAATAATCCGGGGCCACCGCGGGGGTTTTGCAAGAGATCAGCCAGAGGGTGGCGATCGGACGGCTTGAACTGGTTCCCTCCGAGGGTTTGTGGATAGCTGCCTTTTTTGTGTGAATAGACCGTGACTGCCAAGGGGTGAATAAACAGTTCCGAAACTCTGGATTGGCGAGGTTTTCAAGTGTTTAGAAGGGGAGAACCCAAAGAAAAGCCGAGAAAATTGGCAATCACAAAAGCTGAAGCTATTGATGGGAATTTTTCAAAGGGTATTTAGTTTATTCATATCGTCACATTTCTACTGAATTTTGCAAAAATTTTGCACTACACTAATTTTGCGTTTTATGTTCAGATAGCCATGTAGGTCTCGATGAAAAACCAGAGAAAAAGTGTAATCTCTAGCTATCAAAAATTCACCATCCTGCAAACCCGATTGGTTTACTGACGTAACCTCGAAATTCATAATGCCGAGATCTAATGTCGAAATGTCAGTATGTTCAAATTTCAGAATGTCGAAATCGCGAATTTTTTTGCATTAGAGTTTGGGGTTCTTCCAGGAGATTTGCTTATGTAAATTTCGGCATTATGAATTTCGACATTTTGAAAATAACCGTAATCGATTGATGTCTGACTTTCCTGTGCCGTTAAAACAGCCAAGGTAGCAGAAAGTCAAACGAAAATTAATATGAGTTATGACCGGTCCTGATTTTCGAATTTTTATATGCAAGAACAATGCTAATAGCGCTCAAACGCCATCAAAACCGAAGCTAACCTAAATTACCTAAATTGTCCTATATTTGGCTTGCCAGCCACTTTAAAAGCGAAAATTAGAGTATGCTATACTATTACAGCTCATCAAAGGACCAAGACAAGGCTAAAATAAGGACATCACCCGCAAGACCTAGCCGTTTTGTGGTCGGCCACCGGGTGCGCCGGGTATCGCCTGCCCCGAGGGCACAAACCGGCTGCTATGCCCTCTCCAGTCTCCTATCCACCCCCTCCTATGGCTTTCCGATGTCGATTTTCAGGATCCGGTAGAGCCTGACCCCACCGCCGGGAGCGTCTCCACCGCTTCTTTCTCCCCCCGCTTTCTCGCCCTCCCGATCCGTTTCTTATCCCGAACCGGAATGCCCGTTTTCTGCCGAATTCCGCTGCTCCCGCTTAACCCCCCTCGTATCCCGGGTGGTCAGTCACCTGGCCGGATCCGGAGCCATGTTTCAGTCCATCCAGCCTGTGAAGACTTTCCCTCGAGACTGCTGTCTTGATTGGGCGGAATGTACGTACTTTCGCGTAAAAAGTGGTTGAGCTGGATCAGTGGAGGGCCTCCCATTGAATCAAGATACAAAGTGTAAACTAGAAAAAGCCTATGAAACTGAAAACTCAACTCTTGGTACGATGGTGTGGTTCTTTCGCATTATCGGGGGGGGACCATTTTTCGACAAGTCAAGAAGTGTCTAGTAACGTAATTTGAAGTGTTTTTACTAAAATTTAACTACATTTTTAAAAAATCTAAGAATCGTTTGTAGGGTGAAATTTTGACGCAAATCGGCTATTTTTGGTCAAGAAATCGCTATTTTTCGGATTTTAATCAAATTTTTCTTTTAACAGTTTCTGTCTTTATGAATAGTAACACTTCGAAAACGTTCTTATATTTATACCAGAAAAATCGGGTCCTTAGGAAAAGTTGGTTACTGGTTCCAACTTTACGTATTTTGGCAATGCCGAAAAATCGTAAAATTTGGAGTTTTCACAGAGAAAAACCATTCGAATGTCCTAAAACAAAAAATAATAATTTAGATGACCTTAAGAAAGCTCCTAGAAACATCAGGACGCTCAGAGTTTGGCGTTTATGGTACGAAACGATGAGTTTTATTCCGGAAACATCCAGTTTTTTGAAAAGTATTATCGTACTTTTTAACCGCCAAAAATCAACCCATTCCTCCCTGACTTTTACCCCAAACCGTTTCAACAACCACAACCCCACTTGGACTACCACGATTCTTTGTCCCTAGGGCCCTTTTTGTGTTTGCTGTCGGGCCGGGCGTATTTTTGTCGTGTGCGCTATTTGCTGTCACCCCTTCTTGGGGTGGGGTGGGTCTACACCAAAAATATTCGCGAGACAACGCGCTATAAAGTCAATATTTTTGGGTTGGTATTAACGGGAAGCCGCTTCCTACTAAAGCATCCCAAAAAAGCACGAGACGGGCCTATTTTTTCCCAAAAAAAAACTATAAAACCAAATTTTGTAAGAGTTATAGAGACTAATACTTTGTTAATATGACAACCTTCTTTCCTTTTCCGCTTCGATAAAGCAGCTTCTTGATAAAACAATCGGAAAACGAGAAGAGCCGGTTTTAGTATTACTGATAAAACGTAATAACCAGCAGCTTTGTAAAATTTTTATAGAATATCATTTTGTTAATAAGATCTGCTCTTTTTTTTACTACTATTTGGCTTCTCTATCCCATCCCCCTGCCCGCCACCAACAAACAATGAGTCACCCCGGCCATTTCGTAACAAACCAACGAGGACTGGGGGTACATAAGGCCATGAAATTCCCAGTCCCGGCTCCCAATTGCTAGGTTTCCCGGAACTTTTCTTTAAAATAAAGTATTTCCCGTGCTTTTCTGAAACCATCCTTGCTAAAATCGAAGTATCGAACTTTCCCATGCCCATTTCAGTCCACCGCGCCCCATTCAAAGTAATGCCCGACTTTTCGTGGCTTTATCTGCTTGTTTGCTTATTGAAAATCGAAAGATTTAACGTTTTGTTCTCATCTTTTTAGTTGCGATCGAGTTTTCATTTTTGAAAACAAGTTTTCCGGTATTACCGAAATTTTCCCTAGCTAAAATCGAAGTATCGAGCTTTCCCAAGCCCATTCAACGTAACCGCCAGCTTTTCAGAGGATTATTTGCTTTTTTAAGTGTAAAAACGATAAATGTATTGTTTTTTGTACTTTTTACAAAAGTTGGCGGAAAAAGCCTACACGCCGCTCCTTTGAACAGTTCGAATGAATTCCGCGCCATTCCTATACCGTAACCGAACGATTTTCAGGGCTCCCCGGCGCGCGATGAATTTTCGCTTTTCGGCCAAAATCAGCAAGCGGTGTGACGATGTCTCGACTTGGCCCGAACTTCGATCAATTTGTCAACAACCCGGCCCCGCTTCATGAGGCTTTCTTCCAAGATCCCGATGATGTTCTCTGGATGTTCTCGAAGAGATGTGAGCTTCTTTCTCGGCCCTTTTTCGGGTATCCACTTTGATTGTGTCCACACTTGTGCTTTTTCCAGGTTTTCCGCTATATTTAGCGCACTGGGTGCGAAAAACCTGCGTTTGTTGGCTTGCTAATGAATCTCACTGGGCGGGATTGACTTTGGCTTTTTCTTTCTTTTCCCGAAACTGATAAGGCACCCTTAGGCTTTCCCCCCTCTAAATGACGCATAGATCACCTAAGTACGCTTTTGGCTTCGCTCACTTCGTGTGGATCAATCAGCTGAATGAAAATTAAGCCTAACTTTAGCTAGTTTAAGTTAAACTATGTTTATAACTAGTTTTCCGCGCACATAGCGAGGTTTTTCTAAGTTTCTTTGACGAATTGATAGCAAGAACTTCTTTGTTAGAGTGTAAGTTTTTTCGTGCCCGGTAAGACGCTTTTTGCACCCAACGCGCGATAACAGGCAATACAAATGTGGCACAAATCAAAGTTTGGCGCAATCACTGCGGGCTCGCTGATCCAAAAGCGCCGCCTTTCGCAATATAACTTTGTTTTTCCAGATAACCATCTGCCAAGCTTCCTCAGCGGCCACCATGTGCACTTTGCCGGCGGCTATTCGGTTAGCTTTGAGATGCGCGACCGTTTTTGGAATCAGCCTCGAGAGGTTTTTCTTTTCTCATTATTATTGTTCTTTGTTTAGTACCCCTACATCAGCCGGGACGAGAATTGCGAAGAGATCTTCATTCGGGGCAACGATCAAATCTACTTGCTGCTGTTCGCCGCTTATGGCGGGTTTCTACCAAAAGCCCTCTTCCGATTTATCCCGGCCATGCAGATTTGGGAGCATCGAGTTTTGAATGTAACTTTTGTTTTTTATTTCAACGCTTTGTTTTAGCTGGACCCCGAGTGCTACACGCGCAATGGCCCCGTCGAGCGGATCACCGTTCGTGCCGTCGATGTGAAGGTGGACAGCAAAGACGCGTACTTGCTAGTGAAGATTGCCGGCGAGTGCTCGTGCCACCACCTGAACTTGGTCGACGGGAGAATGGAGAAGATGTTCAACATCAAGCCGGAGATTATGACAATACCGGTAAAAAGATCTATTCTATCGGTTTTATAATTTCTGTATTTCAGAACGCAACACCTATCCGGGGCGCTGTACTCGACGGCAAGCTGCATTTCTTCTACGGGGTCAATGATATTCCGATCGACTGGGTGCCAGACAGACTCGTCACGTTGGATTTGGCCACCGGCGAGGGCTGCGAAATTCCTGTATCACTTGTTAATATCTTTTTATTTGATTTTTTTTAGTTACCCGGCGGGACCCCACCGTTCATCAACGAGGGCGCTAAATACACGTATTTGCGGAAGGACGGCGTGTGGGTCCACGTTCAAGGTATTCACTTAATCTTATATGTAATCTTCGTATTTTAGGTCACATTGGGCCTGCCGAACCCACATCGTGCGCGCTCATCTACACGCTCGACCTCAACGCGGAGGAGGTTCGCTGGAGGAAGTCGTATATGACGGTAAATCTATTTCTTGTAATCTTACAATCTATTCTAGGGATCTAAGTCGACCAACACCACCTATGCCTACGATCACTCCAGGGACAGGCTCATCTATGTCGATGAAGTCGGTGTCTGGGAGTGCCTTTCCTACCCGCCAACCTAACTATTCCGTGAA